TAAATAGAGTTAATGAAAGTAGATTGAGCTAATAAAACTTGGTATTTATGGGTTTATAATGACTGGTAGTTAAGAAGCAATTAATATGTGAAATTCTAATAAATATGTTAATTAGGGACAATATGGTCCCATTAATGACCATTAAAGAGCTCAATAATATTAATGAGAGTTAAAGAAAGCTAAGAAACTTTATGGGTATTTTTATATGAGTAGAGAATGAATCTTGAGCATAAAAAAGTGTTGAGTTAGTAGTAAAAATTAGCCTAAATGTGAATATTATTGTGCTGCATTGAAAATGTTTGTAAAATGACTATCTTTGGCACCATTCAAGCTTCTCGGAAGCTTTGGGGGTGAGTGTTTAAGGGGTAAAATCTTTGACCTCTCAAAAGTTTGAGGTAATTGAAAAAATTATGTATTGTGCTTTTATTGTTTAATTAGTATATTGATTTATAATTGATCATTAAAATGTATAAAAGAAAATGAAATGCAAGTGTGGTAGAAAATACTTGAGAAATCCACTATCAAGATTTTGCAAATCTTAATGTTATGTGGTATGTAAATTTTATGAAATATGCCTAGTGAAGTTCTATGAATGAAATTCCTTGGAGTTTAATGATACAAAATGATAGTGAGTTTAATGACTTAATTGTGAATAATTCAAGGAAATGGGAATTTCTAAGTTTAATGAATTGATAATTGCATAGTTCAATGAAAAGTAAATTTGAGAAGTTCGATGAATACAAGGAGTTCAATGAAAAGTAAAGTTCAAGAGTTCGATGAGTATGAGGAGTTCAATGATTGAATTATATGAGTCAATGTGATTTTTATGTATGAGATGTGACGATGATGTGATTGTGCATGCTTGACATTCAGTAATTGCATGCCTCGAAAGATTGCATATCTATGCATTATATGATTTTAAGGGACGGGAGTTTGCCTAGGTAGAGAAGTAGAGGCTTAAATCCATATGGTAAAGCTTCTATCCAAGTTGATGGCTTGTCTAGATTGTTTATATGCATATTGTCCCACCTGTTCAACGAGGGACTGTCCCCTGATTCAACGAGGGACTTGAACTTAACTAGCTATCCATTAGTTCAATGAGGAAATTAGTATAAGGAGAATGACACCCCATAGTGTGAGAAAATAGAAAAAATCATGTTTCACAAGTGAGTTAGGAAAATCTTGGCTGGGTAACCTCTTACACGTGTTTAGACTAAGGAAGCCCAAGATCATAGACTATTCCAACATATTTTAGCTCACGATTTTGTGTCAGAGAAATAAAGAAGATATAAGGAAGGTATAATCATGCATATAGTGAAAAAAGGTACATAGTTGTCTGTATTATGACCATAATAAGGAAAATCATGAATTTAACCTTAATTCTTTGTGAATATGTGTCAATTGATCATGTGACAAATTCTCTTCCTATATGAAAACTATTGAAAGGAATTACTTCATGAGTGTGTGCTATTATGCCTGAAAATGTGCTATTGCAATTTAATTGTACTAGCCACTTGCATTTAAATTAATTGGCATACATTAATATGAGTTAATTGGACTTTAGTTATTAAGTAGTTATACTCACCCCATCTTCAATATTATAAGGAATAACTCAAGAGGATTAGACAGAAAAAAATAACCAAATGCATAAGACTGCGATCCTATTAATAGGCCTCTATATTTTTGAGTATTTATGTGTATATAATGATTGAAATTGCTAACTAGGAATCACCCATTTTTGTGTCTTAATTGCATTATGTGTTCTATGAGTTATGAGTGTATTTTAGGCCCTATGAAGTGTGTTGTGGAATGTGATATTTGTAATAAGGCCAAAATACTAATGCAAGTAAGAGTTAGGCATATTGTCTGATGTTTATGAAACATCTAATGAAATAGATAATTGAACTCTCCCTTCTATGTTTCTGAACTAAAGGGGTTGAGGATTGAAATTGTGAATTATAAGTGTTTGATATGATGTGCTGCATTATGCATGTTAGTTTTGGTGTATTTTATGTGGTCTAAGTGGTGTTAATGGCTTTTGATTTGTGGTGAATGATTTGGACATTTAGTTTTGTGACAAATATTGTAAAAGTGCAAGTTTTGAAAAGAGTATCAAAATCTTGAATGTGTAATAATTTGATATGAAACTAAGGCCATTAGTTAGAGCTCGAAAAGAGCTTTTCGTAGACACTTAGTTTATGTCAATTGGACGTCGGATGGAGGAATGGGGCATATCAAAAGTTGCCTAAGAAGCTATCATTTTGACAATAGAAATATGTTGTCTTCAAACGTGCAATGTGCCATGGCACATGGTGCCATGATCCGTGGCCTATGGTACAAAGGTAAACAAGCAGTGGCTCTTGTTCGACGAGTCACGGTGCATGCCCTTAAAAATCACAGAATTGTATTATTTTATGACTCTTAAGAAAATACACTAATTCCTAAAGTGATCTCATGCTTTCGCACAATTTTAAGCTCCAATTTGTGATATTGAGATCTTTTGAAATAGATTTAGTATTTGAAAACTTGGGACACTAACTTTATAACTTACTTGCATACTTAGTAAAGTTGTTTTTACCTTAATCCAATCTCTTAGTTAATGAAGATTTTGGAATTAATGAAGGTTTAGGAGGGATGATATTACATGTTGTATTTGAATTAAATGTGAAATCTAAATAGGGCTAAAATACTTGTACAAGTAAAAGTGAATATATTTGTAAATTTTGACCAAATATTGAGGTTCAGCCCTTATTGAAAGGGCTCAAGGCCTAGCCTAGAAGCTTAGTTTTGAAAAAATAAAAATAAAAATTAATATTATAATTTAATGTTATTCTTCTAGAAAATAATTTAATTCATCATAATATTTAATAGAAAAAATTAATCTTTTAATCTTTCAACTTTTAACTCACTTATAACTCAATCCCTCAACTATGACTCGCTGTGACTCAGTCCTTTAATTATAACTCGCTGCGACTCAGTCTCTTAACTTTTGATTCACCTATAACTCAGTCCTTATTTTTAAATTTTTAAAAAAAATTTCTTATCAAATAAGAGGAATAAAAAAATGCTCATATATTATTTTAAAATACCCTTCTTTTGCTTATTGATGTAAGATATAAGCTAACATGAAAAAAAATAACAAAAGTTAATGAACTGATTTGTAAGTAATTTAAAAGTTGAGGAATTGAGTTATATGTGAGTCATAGTTGAGGGACTGAGTCACAACGAGTCATAGTTAAGGGATTGAGTTACAAGTTGCTTAAAAGTTTGAGGATTAAAAGATTAATTTTCCCTATTTAATATTATAATTTAACTCTAAAATTCAATATAAACTAAATCAAGATCTCACATCATCTATAAAATAAGTAAAAGATTCAAAAGTATAAATAAATGTTAGTTGATGCCATCAGAATACATGAAAAAGTTCTAGAAATAAAATATACAAGGCATATCAATATAATCTTCACAAAATAAGGTAAAGATCAAAATTTTCAAATTAAATTGAAATCTTAAAGGCAAGTATCAAATTAAAATCTTGGATAGATGGCCTAAAAAAAGGGCTAATGTTGAAAGATGAATTACTTGAGAGTAAGGAAGTTAAAAAATCAAAGCAATAGAATGTTAAAAGATGAGAGGGAGAAGTGAATCAAGAGACAAAGAGAGCCAGAGGGTGTGTAAAGCTACGAGATGGGAAGGTGAAACAGCTGGAGGAAAGGAGAGAGCGAGAGGGAGAGGTTAAGTAGAGAGATAAAGAGAGCTAAAGAACTTAGATTGGTAGAATGCTTAGAGTTTTTTCTTATTTGCCAAATAATACGTTCTAATGTAAAAGAGAAAAAAATAGAATAGGGCTTGGAGGGCTGCCCAAGCTTGAACCCTTCTTTTAATGCTTGTCAAAGCTAAGGCTAGAAGTTTGGTTGCTCTAAAAATGCCTCATTTTTCAAGTACAAACCTTTATTTAAATAAAAACTTTAAGTTCAGCCCTTATTTTTGATGCTATTGCTAGTTTTCATCTCATTAATAGTCACCTTTCATTTTATGAGTAAAACCTAAGAGGTTTTCCATGCATTGCATAAAATTTCAAATAAGTCACATCATAAATAACTTATAAATTATAAAAGTATGCTTTAGTATGAATTTTACATTTTATATTAATACTTTTTCTTTTGTTAGTCATCCTGAATACATTTTGTGATTTCAATCTAGAGGATTTAAACTCTCAATGGCTTTGGCAGAGTTAAAAAATCACATCACACTTAACTTGTGACAATTGTCAAGACCCTAATTCAATGATGCAACATTTTTAAAATTAATAATTTAAAAAAATTAATATTTTTTTCAAAAAGTAGGTACATTCCTTCTTATTGCCCTATGTGTCTTAATGTTTTGAAATCGTTGAGCAATCATCTAATTATTAATGCTAAGGAAAATATCTTTTTTAATATAAGTTATTAAACAATTATTTATCAATAAATCTCTCTTATGATTTTGCCACTATTTTTCACAAACTTCTTGACAAAAAAAACTCCTTCCACCATTAACATGACAATCAATAAAATCGTTGCTAATTTCAAAAAGTATAAATTAAAAGATAAACTATATGTCTTCTTGCTTTCACCAATTTTTTTTTTTTTTGCAAGACTATCAATTTCTTTTAATCATACAAATTTAATATTGCTTGGCATATTAATGATATGAATCTCAAATTAATGATCAAGCATCATTAAATTAAAGAAAGAAAACTCACATGAATAAAATTTGGCAAATCCAGTTAACTTTTTAACCTTCAACTGAACATATTTAAAGTTTTCAAATATCTTTAAAACTGATCTAATGAATACAAAATATCTCAGGGATGCAAGGTAGTAAAATATATGACCCTTCCTTGTAATTTGCTCTAAGTCCAAGGATCTCGCGGGGGACTAACGTAGCGCCGCGTATGCGTTTAACGATAATTTAGCATTTCATAATCTGCACAAAAGTTTCAATAAAAAGATCTCTAGTTTACATCGCAACAGTGCTTTATCATCATTCATCAATAAAGCAGTACGATGAATACAAAAGGGCAGAAGAGATGATGTGGGGGACGAAACCTACAGAAGAATGCGAGATAGGATTGTAGGACCCTATACAGAACAAGAAAAGCATAATTGCATACTATTATTGTAAACCCACTTGCAGTTAAAGGATGAAATGATGAACAAAAAAGCAACATCAAATCTCAAAGCTACTGAAATGGGTCAGTCCTTAACATCAGTAACCCCTTCTGGAGAAATCTGAAACCTTGCCTCGGCTTCGGCCAAACAAGGAGAACTAATTACTTTACAAATTCTTTCTTCCCCTCTACCCTTCCGAAGATGTAGCCTGTGAAAGTAATAAACATCCAGATTCCAGACAAAAGTGAGAACAAGACTTTAATCGGGAATGTGGGGGGAAAGAAAACTTCATATTTTGAAGTCCAGACCTTGTCGTTGTAGCATGCGCCATAATGTTGCCACCAATAGGCTTGATTTGAGGTCCAGCAAAGACTGCAGAACCATCTACTTGTGAAACTACTTGGTTTGTTATCACAACAGCCACACCAAACTACACTTGGAACAACAGAACAAATATAATCAGCCTCAAGAATTTGTCTGCCACGTCGAGGAACCAAAGTAACTGTGTTACCAGCAAAGAATCGCTAATACCATCTATTATCTGCCAACCAAAACCAGAACTTTGCTCTATTTTAAACTATAAGATTGGCTGGAGTGGCACTAAGTCGTAGACTGTTACCTCATCTGCTAACTTTTGAAGGCTTCGAAGGAACTTTGCCAGATGCATTTGCCGGGCAGAAAGCTCCCCCCTTCCACTAAAATCTGTCCTGTAGAGAGCAGTAGCACTATCAACAATTACCAGAGCAAACCTGTGGATACAAGAATGCATAAGATCAAAGCTTAAATGCAATTTAGAATGCACTCAAAAGAAATAGCAAGAGTCTGATTCTGACACAGCAGAAAGCAGACATGTTGAAGTTTTAAGATTGACATGTGGTAGTTTTTTCATACAAAATTAATTAGTTGGATGGGTTCAGATCGGATTCTCCAAATTTCTAAAGGAGAAGAGAGCAACGAAATTCATCAAGAAAAGCAATAACATGTTACACTAATGCATACAATTAGATACCAACAGCAGTCACTAATTCAAGCCCTGTAAATTTTGTGTTGGATCTAAAAAAAAGAATTTGGCATCCTATAAACAAGGTTAAAAGTCCAAGCCTTCTTGATTAAAAAAACTCACATTGAAAAGGCTATTCTCATTTGAGCACAACTTGAAACCAGACTCCCCAATGCCGAATTGTAGAACAGAAAAGAGTTTCCTCACTCACCACACATAAAAGGTCAAGAAAATATTGATTAATGCATCTCACTTAGTACGACACATGGAAAACATCCGCCTAGTTTGGCATAACATGTTAAATAAAAGACAATCAATCTGGACTTTGGATTACACGAGTAAATACATTGAGCAAAACATCACTGCAGGCCAAACCTTGTTTCCACCATCATTGAAGCTGCTTCAAGCAGAAGCCGTGATTGATGATCAGTGTTATATGCTCTAGCATAGGCAACATTTTCCAACACATCAGCTCCATTTAGTCCAAACCTACATCATTTAGCATCAATGCAACATAAACATTGAATGCAACCTTAATGGAGTAGGCATTACGTGTTAAAAAAAAATGTCATACCTGTCTGCTATTTGTAAGAGTCGCTGTGGTCTAAATGTACCCTCTGCATCAATGTACATTGCTTTGCCCACAGCACCTCCTTGTTCAAGTGGCAGCTAAGATGTCAAGAAAACAAATGATAATCAGGCAATGCAATGGCTGAATTACATTGATAATTTTCACACTCTAGTTTGCATTTTTATATTTCATTTCCCCTTGTTCAAGTCGAGGGAAAAAAAAAAAAAAGTATGACGCAAATGTCTGTGTCCTCCCAATGTTAAGACTACTTTTCACCAAGCACTTGCACGACAGGTAATACCAAAATGAAAAACCACTTACTTGGCAAGTGACACAGAGAGTATGACACAACTGAGTCTTGCCAGATCGAAATTCACCATACAGCTCAGTTATAGATCCTGTCTCTACCCCTCCTGGTAGAAAGAGACAATAAGTCATGATCCATTAACAATGAAAAACATGAATTTATCAACAAACAAGTGAAGCTGCTCATGAATAAATTCAATTTTCTAAGCCTTTAAAGGTCTCACTCCTACCTTCCAATATCTTGTCTAGCTCTTCTGATCCTGATGTTATTTGAATAATTGCAAGCCTCTGTGAATGAAGTTGGGCAGCACTAGTGAAACCCAACGGCACCAATTTAGAAGCTGTCAACAAACAAGAGAGAACAAGCATGTAAGGGCATATATTGGATGGAGTTATCGAAGGAAACAATTGGAGGATGCATGCCTGCTTCAATGATCTTGTCAACTTTAGCGTCACTGATTCCTTTAATCTGCAGAAGGTCCTTTCTAGGAGAGAAAGCCACAGATTCAACCGTGCAAAGACCGGCATCTTTAAGTTTCTTAACGTCAGTAGCAGATATGCCCGATGCCTAAGATTGTGGTCAAAAGGAAAACGGTCAAATCGGAGGAGAACAAATTTACATTACAATGATTCTTGACATCAGCCGATGGCTGGATGAAGAGAAGAATGGCTATTCAATTATGATCAAGGCAATAGAGTCAAGCCCACCACAATAATAGATTCATGAACGGCATCTACGTACTTGATTGAGACTTCAGCAAGAAATTAGAACAAATCGGACATTAGAAACCAAAAAAGAAAGACTTTTCGAAAGCCCTCATAAAGATGACCAGACGAACAGAAAAGATAACCAAGAACCCTAATGTTGCTAGCAAGAACACCTCATTGGCCCAAGACTCCCATGTGGGTATCATTATTAGTTGGGAATTGAGGTGCCCAATTCGGGCAAAAGTATTCTCACTTCTTATTTATTTTCTTTTTCACAGAGAGAGGGGGGGGGGGGGGGGAGGGAGGGAGGGAGAGCGAGCGAGCCAAGATTCAATATGTTTCGAATGTGTCGATCACCTGAAGCTCTTCAACAGATAAAGGGCCATGTTGTAACTCTTCAGCTTCCTCCTCCCGTTGGGCTTCCTTTTGGTGCCTTTGCTGCTCCATTTCTGGCAAAGATTCAAATTCTTCCTGAGCCCTTTAGAGAGAGAAGCAGAGGAATGTGACGGAGAGGAAGACGAAGCTCACGAACTGTGCACAGTCGAAGAAGGATCGAATGGACGTCGATGAAGGGAAGAATCGGCGAAGTGCAGTCTTTTCAAAGGCGCTCAACGGGCGCCAAAACATTTGGCATTCGGTTCGAACAAAGCGTACCGAAGAAGTTTTGTTGAAAGCGTGCAGGTCACTTGGGTCCAAGCTCATTAGCCCACAAAAGTTGCCCACACCACAGTGTCGGCTAAATTGGCCCAACCCAGTGCTTGTTATTTTGGGAGAATTACATACAACTAGTCAAGACAATTGATTATCCTCGGAGGCGACATTGACCTTCATGATTATTATTCTGAGATTCAAGAGGCACGTGAGCTGCTACATCCGGAATGCAGAATGCATGGAGAATATATCCCCTCGGAAACGAAATGGAGGGGCGGACTTATGTTTTATTTGAGCCACCCTAAGCTGTTTGTTTTAGTTTTTAGTTTCTTGTGTTTATTTCCTTTCCTCTTCTATCAATAATGTTATTATCATCATCATCATTATCATTATTATTATTATCAAGTCCATTGATAGATAAATTTTGAAGAATGACAACACAAACTCAGGATAATTAATTATTTCCAAATCCATTAACAGTTAAGCTGAATAAAATGACAACACAATAGGCTTGAGAATAATTAATTATTTTGAGTGGGACCTTAAATAATTTTTCTTTGTTTTCATTTAGCAGGGCGATTTTTTTCATTAGTAAGCTTTTTTTCTTCTTCTTTTTTTTTTGGGCATCGGAAACGTTAATCAGCCTTGCTTTCATTCTTTTCTTCATTTTTAAATAATATACATGTGATTTGATTTTGGTGTTCAGTATCAAAACGCTGTCATTTTGGCAGCGTTATTTTTTTTTAACCACAAACTCATCATAATAATAATAAATAAATATTATAAAATTATTATTTTAATATTTAATAAATAAATAAATATTAAGAAGTTAAAATTGAAATTGAATAGTTTAAATAAAAATTTTAGTTTGAACAGTTCAGAACTATACTGAAAAAATAAAAAAAATAATTTGAAGAGTTTAAAATTGAAGTTAAATCTAGCAAAATGAACTGATTTCTTATACTGTAACAAATCAATATTTGAATTTCTATTAAGAAAAGTATTTATATTTAATATCCAACCATGCCTTGAATGATATTACCTCTCATAGATAGACAACTATGCAAAATCAATAAAATAAAAAATATCATTACAATTCTAATTTTTTTTAGTATATTTCTAAAATGTTCAAATCAAAATTTAATGAGTTAAACTATTTAAGTTCAATTTTCTTAATATTTATTTATTAAATATTAAAATAATAATGTTATAATATTTATTGTTTATTATTATATGAGTTTGTGGTTTAAAAAAAGCTATAAAAAAAAAAAAAACACTGCCAAACGGCAGTTTTTTTATGCTGAGCACCACGGTGCTGGTCTAACGAGTCCTGCTATACATGGACCTGCAGAAATCTCAATTAACTTTAGGGAGGTCAACAATTATACGATTATAAAAATAAAAATAAAACTATTATATGTAATACATTTTCCTTGACAAATAATCCCCAACAGTGCACAATCACATGGGAGTCGATTTGGTCTTTTCCAAACTTCTCTAATAGATGGAAAGCTGGAACACGTACGAGAACACCTTTTTTAGGCCTAATTTTTATCACTGGAGCCAGGAACAAACACACACTCACAGCCACACGCACAGAATCTCAAGCAAGAAATAAAAGAGTTTATAATAGATAGCGTTGAAATCAGTTGAGGCCTGAGGCGATGGTGACGCTCAGTGGAAGGAAGCCATATGAAGTTCCAGCAATGAAAGATTCAACAATGAACTTTACAGCCTCGTCAGCTCCAATAACATGAAACATATCAGGCCACTTCACGGCTGTTCCGGAACTAGGTCGTTGCTATGAGTACAAATTTAAAAAAAGTTCATAATAAAAGACTAATTTAATAAATAAAAAAGGCCTTTTAAACTTATAAAATATATTTCACTTGTGACATTCTTGATGCGAGCGGGACTCATAACAATATTATCCCGCGAATAGTTCTCTTTGTAGGAGAGGCCTCTCAACGAGACACTAATATTTCAAGCATAATTATATAAAAGAAGAGTCCACCTTAAAAAATTATCCTGTTAAGCAGGAGAACCCTTATACTTAGAAATTCCACCTCACAAGTGAGGCTGCCCACATGGCACTCGTAACAGCCTTCATTCCCATGCTCTGCAAAATACAGTATGCCTTGAGCATTGATGTCTCCAAACCAGGTCATTCTACCATCCTTCACCTGCAACGACTCATGACATCCCTCCACTGATATGTTGAATATAATAGACTTTCTTTAGGAGAATATGTATAACCAAACAACGTTTTACTGTAATTAAATTGGGTCGTGCGTCCATTTGACATGCATGCATGTACAGTATTCGGTCTAGCGAAACGAACAGACATTTAAATTTATCTAAGGCTCTTGCGAAATAAGTCAAATGCACAGATCATCATCAAATCCACAAAGCGGTGTGCTAGCCCCTCTCCCCAATATTTCCATGCAAATAACATGATGCAAAAAAAAAAAAAAAATCAAAGCTTAAATATGATATCATTGTAGTAGACATATGTTAGAGATATTGCGTGTCACTCTAACTTTTTGCGAAACTACAAAGAAACAAAATTTCGCACTTAAAAACCCCGCTAAAACTGAGTTGCTGTAATGCTCGTTAACCATGTGTGCATCTTCCACGAGTGAGACGACAACTGACGCTTTGATAGTTCAACTTTTTCAACGAAAAACAACAGAACTGTTTGTATATTATTTGACTTTACCTTGAAACGTTTAGGTGATGTAACGCAAAATTTTCTTACCCAACCATCATCGCAATAACCATAACAATATGCACATGATTCATCAAAATGGGGAAACAACAAATAATTGCTAGCAGTTCCGATCGATGGATTGAGCACGTACGAACGTACAGCATAAAAACCAGACTAAGACCCCACCGCCGCAGTACAGTGAACTGCACCACCCGATTAAGCTACCGCTTAGTTGTACAAGCCTCGCTGAACCGGTACGTTGATCCCGGAGATCCAATTACCGGCCAAGAAAGAGTCGACGGTGAAGTTGCTAGCCTCGTCCCTACTGATTTTTTTGTAGCCAGGCCACTTCACTCTATTATCAGTATTCGCGCCGGCTCCGGTATTGTTGAACTCAGCGTAGAACAAAGTGCTGAGTGCGAAGTCACCTTCCCATTCCATCCACCCTTCAGGGTCTATGATATCATCGATCTCGGATTCCATGACAACGGTTCTGGAGTATTCCTTCCACGGCCTGCCGAGGTAGCTCTTGAAATTGTCTTTCATGGGGGCGAGTGAGTCGTCGGCCTTGATCTGGCAGCCTTGCAGAACGATGGCCGTGGTTTCTCGTGGGTCCATTCTGCCTTGTGCTGTCACTATGTTCTGCTGGTTGTCTAAGGGTTTTCTTATGTTCATTATGCAGTTCTGGAAGATGGCGGCTGCGTCGCCGAAGATGAAGTCGACCGTGCCTGAGATCACACAGCTCCGGTAGAACTGCCTGTGGGCTAGGGCATAGAGAGTGTCTTGGAACGCTTCGAAACGACAATTGACAAACACCGCACGATCTCCTTGCACTCTTGCTGCAACCGCTTGGTGCTTCTCTGGACCTGCTGTGTTTCTGAACCCCATTGCTTTTCCTAGAAATCCATCTGCTTCTACGGCTGTAATGTCATAAACAAAGGCAAATTTGGCTTATATTAACTAACCCATATAATGGATTGGATTGAACACACATTTTTTGTCTAAGTCCGAAAAAAACTAAAATACTCTTACCAAATGATGCGGTTTGGAAAGTCCTTACTCCATCTACGAAGTTCTTGTTGCCGGTGATTATGCTTTTTTGTGATCCGTCACCGTAAAGGGTTAGGTTTACCATTCGCTCTTCTATTAACACTGTCTCGTCATATGTTCCTGCTTTAACATAAACCACATACCTACATTTCGCAGTACAAATGAGAAGCCTAATTACATGAGCAACCATAGTACAAATATAGTGCAACTCTCGCACACTCATACACGCACCCACTCATGAATTCAAGATACGTATAGTTCAGTTTTATTTAACTCTAACTTCGTTAGAAATCAAAATAAGTAACAAGTTGAAATCATAATTAGCATGATTAATAAGCTATATATATATAAATATATATATAATTAAGAGCATGCGCATGATATATATACCGCCCATCGTATTTTTGTGGTATGGCTTTCAAGGCTTCGGAGATGGTTTTGAAGTCTCCACTGCCATCGCCAGCCACCGTGACGTTAGGGGTAGGCTTATCATCTGCGGCCTTCAACATCCTTCGATCCTCATCGTTCATCCACTCCGGAAGACCTTTATCATCGGTCGACAGCAAGTGACGGTTAGCACCTTCCTTTAGCGCTGAAGAAACCACGGAGCCTAACTGCGATAGAATGGCAAGAGAATTGCTAACATACTCCATTGAATCCTGAAAAGCACTCTGCATTTCTGTCTTCAGTTTCCCTTCAGAAAACCCATCGAGGCAAGCTCCCTGGAACGAGATAACTGCACTTAGCCAACTATTCAAATCCGAAGAGGATAACGCGAGCTTGTTCATGTCAATGGATCCAACATGTGAGGATGAATTCCCGAGATCGTCTTTTGCGCGATCCAAAAGCTTCTTGCAATCTTCGTAAGCCCCTTTCTCTTTATCGGTTAGAAAGTTGAGGTCCTTGGTTTTATTTAGGGCCTTATTGAGCTCGTCCGCAGCAACGCCGATGGCAAGCTTGAGGACATCTCTGGGTTGTGCGATTTTAGGATCCTTTTTCACTTCCTTGTCAAGACTTGTCTCGCATTTGTCCTTGTAGTCGGTGATATCGCAAATGGTCTTCACGAGTTTCTCTGCTACAGAAATCTGGTTGGAGTTGCTGTTGGGGCTACCCTTGGAGGAAGATGGTGGGGATTTCTTGTTATGGTCATTGAGTTCGCTTTCTTCTTCATTATTATTGCTCACGATTACGAAAGCGGCTGCTCCTATTAGACCAATGATGACGATGGTGCAAACTGCGCCAATGGCGATTCTGCGCTTGAGCTTTTGTTTCCTATCATTTTTTCTTTTCTCGGTGATGAGATCGAAGTCTTGAAATGCCATAGTATATAAATTAGAATACAGGAGAAGGAGAAGAGAGGAGGAGGAGGAGGAAAATAGAGAACGATTTGTCTAAGGCAGAGAAGAGTCTCCCTGCCTTAGGAAGAAGCCAGGCACAGGGTGGGAAAAGAGAGGGTGGGGAAAGGTAAGAGAGAGATGGCGTTTAATTTTAGTAACGTTAATTCCTTTCCCTCTTCATTCTTGGTGTTTGATCATTGGAATTTTAACGTTGGTAGTTTGTTGGGGGGAGATTAAGGTGGTCCGGACGAGAGGCATTTCAGGGATTTCTATTTCTGGACTGCGTACGTTAATTTAGGTCTTCCAACAATGTTCGAGTTTCACGCTATAATATTCTGCCTCTTTTCTTCCTATTCAAACAAACTTCGAAATCCTTTTCGTCCTTTTTCTTAGGACTGGGAGTGCCAGAAAAAAGAAAGAGCCATGCAAATTAACCCAACGGTAGCGTTTCTCCTCAAAAAGATCGCTAAAGGAAAGGAGTTATATAGTGACGAGGACCTTCGCTTCCCGTACCTTCAATTTATCTTGCCCAATCGTTAGAAAAATGTACTTCAGCAATCAACCAAACAATCGGTTCTTATAGATCGATCCATATCAGAGAAGGACCTTAACGAGATGATCTGTGTTTGAAATTAAACAAGGTTACTTGTATATCTCTACTTTGTGGACAAACGTACAAGTACGCAAAGACTTGAGAAAACCCATATATAAGCCACATGCATGTTTATGGGTTTGGTTCAATTCTCCCCAAAAATATGTATCAAGTTCATCGCTTTTGAAAATCACGTGGAGTTAGATAGTCAACACTTTTCGCGCATCTCAAACTAGCCTCTGAATATATAACTGAGACATAATCCTAAGTATATATAGTACATATATAAGTTATCTCAAATAGTCACCCATATAAAACTGTCATGAAATTATTTATTACTCCAAAATTCATCTTCTCTAAAAAATAAGTGTGCCGCAATATATAAAGATATTTATTATATTCCTTGGAATGAATTAAATTAACGTAAAACTTTTTAACATTCATACAAGGCTTTAATGAATTGTGAATGTGGCTTTTGATTAATTTCAATATTTCATAGAGTTTGAGAAATAAAGATATAATATTTATAAATTAATATATCAATAATTTGCAAGTGTATTGTAGTTGATATATAATTTCTATCAATTAACATTCCCCGCAACCTTTTATTTTACGGTGTTGCCCCTCAATAAAGCAGGATCTCAAGCCACGACGAGAACATTAATTAATCACATTATCAGCAAGCAGTAAATTAGGCTAAATCTAATTGGTTCATGGTCAAATCCCAGCGTCATAGGGGAAAGAAGTGGACTGAAGCCAAGCATCACCCATAATGAACTGAGAAACGGTAAAATTATAAGCATCCTCATAACCCAGCACATGGTACCCAACCCAGTTCACCCTCCCACCAGTACCCGAACCCGGCCCATAATTGTCGTACTCCCCATAGTACAAAGTCTCCAAATCATCGCCATCAGAATCAGACCATTCCGTCCACCCCTTTGGGTCCACGAAGTCATCGATGTAAGACTCTAGATACACAGTCCGCGAGTAGGGCCTCCATGGGCGTCCGAGGTAGCTCTTGAAGCTTCTAGAATTCGAATACAGGTCCTGGGAGGCTATGATGGAGCAATTCTGGATTGAGATTCCGGTGTCCTCGTCAGGCGAGTCTCGGGATTGAGCCGTGATGATGGTGAACTGGTGAGGAAGCGGCTTTCTCGAAACGATGTCGCAGGCCTGGAAAACGGCGGCTGCGTTTCCGAAGATGAAGTCTATGGTGCCGTAGATGTCACATTCTCTGTAGAACTGTCGGAAGGAGTGAACGTAGAGGCTGTCTTGGTAGCCATAAACGGCGCATCTGTACAGCGCAATTAAGTCCGCGTTTACTCTCAACGCAACTGCTTGGTGCTTCTCTGGCCCTGCACTGTTTTCTATCGCTATGTCTCGTGCCAGAAAGCCGTCACCGGACACAGCTAAAAACAAAATCAGAATTATCACTGTGATTCTTCAGTAATTTAATGGTGAGAAAATATTATTATCTTGACCTACTACTCTGTTTCTATCATTTTTTACTTATTTTTTTATATAAATAAAATTATATGTTTTAATAAACATTTATTATATATTTTTTAAATCATCCTTCATAATTTATATTAATAAAAAATAATTAATACATATTTATATTGATTAATATAAAATATTTTCCTTCAATTTCTTTATTTTCAGGATTAATCAATTTTTTAAATTATGATATAATTTTTTTATATTTATAAAAATGAAGGGATTATATCTTAGATATATATAAAATATCAATGCTCTAAAAGCAAGTTCGATGTCAATCACAATCCCCTGATAGACTAGGCTTTAAGAATAATGTCATTCCTATCAAACAAGAGTATCGTGATGCCTTTAAGCATTCTATAGGAGAAGTCAGGGTTTCACAGTGTCGTCGCTGTTTATGAGAATGAAGGGTATAGCAAAGTACTCTTAAATGTCGTTTTCTTTCTCTTATCTGTTTTTAGAAAAATCACAAGGCGCCAACTAATGAATGAAGAGTTGAATGAAGACGAACAATGTAACAGTTGTTAGATAATGAGATAACGACCCCGTGAGTTTTCTGAAAAAGGTACAGCTCATAAACTAAAAAAGAAAGAGGAAAAAATAAAAGAAAAGGAAAGGGGGTAAAAAGAGCGAGCGAAATTAATGAGGGATCTAAATTCTGAGCTCTCTGAAGTGTTTACCTAGAGTTGCAGATCTGAAAGTGGTCCACGCATCGCCCACGCTTCTGTTACCGGTAATGAGAGTGACATCGCTTCCATCTCCAAGCAGAACAACGTTGGTCTTGTAACTTGGGATGTCCACATTTTCCTCGTAAACCCCTGACTTCACATAGATCACAGTCCTGTACAAGCTATTATTGGGAGCAAAGTTCACAGCTTCAGTAATGGTGCTGAAGTTCCCGGTTCCATCCGCCGCCACCACAAGCATCTCATCCGGATCGTATTCTTCCCCGTCCGAGCTCTCCAAGATCCGACGGTCCTTCCTCTTCAGCCACGCCGGAGCTCCCAGCAAGCGACGCCGGTTCTTATTGCCTCTGGAACCTCTTAACCCTGGTGATGTACAATGGCAATGATATATACCGAATAAGACTATTGAACTGAGAGAGTTATATGATATTGACATCGTGAGATTGTGGGTCACCTGGCTTAGGGAGCATGGACAGAGAATTGCTGACGTGTTTGTAGGTTTTGATGGTAGAGTGGACAAGAACAGGCTTAAGGGAGCCCGCAGTAGAGTCGAGACCTTCCAGGCAAGTGTTCTTGTTGGTCATGGCGGCGCTGAGGTAGGCTCTAGCATCGGCGAGCTTCCTGGCAGAAGTGGGAGAATCACGAACCCCAGAGAGGGATCTTTTGAGAGAAGTCAAGGTTGAGAGATGAAGCTCCCTACAGTCTTGAATTGACCCTCTCTGCTTCTCCACGAGGTTGGAACCTGGATGGCCTCCTGCATTGTGGAATAGATCGGAGAGATGGGTGGCTTCGGATATGGCAACTTGCAGAGACTGAAGCAGGTAGGTGAGGATGTTTGGGCTTATGTTGATAGAAATGCCGAGCTTCAGAGAATCGAAGCAAGCTTCTGGATATGGGGTGGTTCGGCAGAAAGATCTTATGGAAGTGAGATTTGGAGGTAGTTTTGTTGTAGGAGAGGCGCAAGCGGGTGAGATGAAGATTGGGAAGAGAAGGAGGAAGAGTTTGAGGGTGGAGGAAGCCATGGGAGCGACCTTAAAAAATGAAGAATTATTAGTATTTGAAGCGATGGAACGGGAAACTTGACTTGGGGAAGGTTAATAATCAATTACGAGAAAAAAGAAGAAGAAAAGAAATCGAGGAAGAGCAAAATATCAATGCGGCTTTTCAATTATAGGCCGAGCCGGGACGAGACATTACAGCGTGAGGTATTGCCCTCACTGATTAACCTTGGAACCAGCAAAGTTGTCGCGGCTAGCAAGGCACAAAAATTAATATCACCAAACTTTTTTTATTATTGTTTGTGAAAACTACACATATGTTATCTTCATGATATTATTAATATTAGAGTTTATGGCAACAAAAATAATACAAGTATAAATTATCAAGTAAGATTAACCAATATTCTACGTACTATATGATAAAATAGTGATATTGATATTGATAAAAAAAAAAACGTATATAACAAGGGCTGAATTATACCATGTAATGTGGGAACAAAAATAAGGAACTCCGATCCACGCAGGTTTAGTTCATGGAAATAAATGTCACGCCTCTTGAAATGTAGATCTCTTGGCAACATTAAGCTTTCGTTCGTGAGTATTTCACAAATATTTTTCGTAAGTGATATAATAAAAAAAAAAATCAAACCATTCATAAGATTTGTCCTAAAGCTTGTTAAGTTTCCAGGACGCAACCCACTGAAATCCCAGAAAAATTCATATTCTTGCAATTTGTATGGCAAAAATTCCATTCTAGGTTAATTTTCATAGTCTAGTCATTTTTATTATTTGCCAAAAATAAAAAAGTCATTCTAAATAATAATAATAATAATAAGAATAATTTATTATTATTTTTATATGACCGTATGACAATGTCATTATCAAGCTTAACTGAGATAGCTTTTTTAAAAGTATTTACTGTGTTTACACAAATTCAAATTCAAAATTTTGGTATACTTTGGTGGTTATTATAACCCTTTTTTTAAGGTCAGTGCTTTGTTGGTTAGTTTTTTTTTATTATTATTATCTTTACCATCATATGGTATGGCTGACCTGGGCTTACTCACTATACCTCTATACATAAGGTATTTTTTATAAACTTATTTTGTTTTTAAATATAAAAAGTGATAATAATATTTTTAAATAATTAAATAATTTTATCCTTGTCTTGAAAAATAAAATAAATCATTAATTGTATGTTTTCTTTATTACGAACATGATATTAATTAAGATATTATTAAGAATAAAACAGGAAAATTATTATATTTTTATATGAGTTCAACTAAATAATAAATATTTATTAATATGCGAAATTCAGTTAAAAACACTTTATGTATAAAAATGGAGAGAGTAACAGTTTAACTAGAAACTAGTGTGTGTAAGTTGAAAGGGCGTTATCCAATTACCCCTTCGTGCCATTCTCAGTTTCAGAAGCATTCCCCAAGTTTTGCAGCTAAATACCTAAACCCAAGCAAAAATACAACACGTTTCTGTCAGTGCTTGCCCCAAACAAGCCCCTATCCATTGGCTTTCCTTGAGGTCGGTTTGCGTTATTTAGTTTCTCTTCTGTGTCATAACATATTATGTATATATTCTTTGATATCTAGAAAACTGTGCGGTACGCACATTAAGTCTCATAGAGTGACTATGAGAGTGGACAGTGTATCATTTAAAAATTAACATCTCTTTTTCTTTGTTTGATAATTTTATGTGTATTATATTGATGATATGTATATTGATATTGATGGTGATGATTTTATATCACGCATTTACAAAACTCAAACTCAACTATCTGACGTTCCGTAACCTTCACGTTATTATTATTTAAGCCCTGTCATGAGCTTGAAGTCTTAAAATAAAGGACAATTTTGTTGACTGATTAAAGGTTTGATTTTTGGTCCCAAAACACTAAGAAAATGGGAAATTTGGGACGGATTTGCAATGATGACAGATTTGCGACGGATTTGAGTTTTTTACAATGAACATAACACGGATCTGTCTGTCACAGAATTTTTTTATTGCTAATTTTTCGCAACATGATTTCACAATTTCTTTGAAGATGCATGCATCAAGAAAAAAATTGTGACAAATTTGGGATGAAGACTAAATTTTTGCCCCACAAATTTATTGTTACAATAAGTTTCTTATTTTCTTAACCATCGGATATATATAGCTTATTAAAGAGACTGAATTACTCTTGATTAGTTACCCACGGGTTATAAACTTATGATAATAAGTATTTCAGCATGATAATCTTGTAATTCTTGATAATATTTTACCTTAGATGGGGGAAAACGATGAGGAGAGAGGATAATTAATTTAAAGAGCTTAAGCGTGAAAGTCTGAATTTTCTCCCATCCAACCTTTATTTCCCTCTTTTAAAACCCAACATATTAAAATCTTATAGCATAAAAAAGTTTTGGAAGATCCGAATTCAAAATAAACCGAAGTTAATAAAGGTTAGTGCAATAGATAAAAATAATTATTATTCTATAACTTATTATAAAATTATAAGTTCAAATCTCACTACTAATATAAAAACTTTGTTGATAAATGATTTGTAAATATGATGCACAGCATTCTTTGAATCCAAATACATATATATGTGTGTATGTGTGCCTAGACCTATTGAGTTTTCGAGATCACCTAAATTTTTTTCTATAAAAAACATAGACTGGAAAAATTAAAGTCCCATGACATTTTCTCGAAACAAGAAAACTTAGCATATTTTAGACGTCCATATTAATTCACAGTTGCGTATTGAATCTATACCGACATATATGCATGCTTGATGCTTTGAAGTGGAAGCATTGAATAAGTTGGATGCAGCCCGTGAAGTGGTTTTTCCATGGATACAAGGAATATGCGACCTTTTCCCGATATACCTGTGACCCCACACCCCAATATGTGTGTGTGTGTGGAGAGAGAAAGATATGGTTCATGGTTTCCAATTACCTTAATTATAATAGTTTCATTTCTAACGATATTAATTAATTGATGATTAAGGTTATAGCCAGTCCCCTTTGCAATTTATAATTAATTCGGCATATTTAAATGCGTGATCTTTCTCTTGAAGGCATGTTTTATCAGCAAAGCAACGTCTGCAACTTGACCCTTATTCGACAAATAATTTCACGAGACAAAGTCAGAATAATGTGCATGCCACTTCTTTGTCCTCAGCCCACCAAAATCTCACATGTTCAGATTCTTTGTTCAGGAATATTTTGTATTTATAACAATAAATAAATAAATTTTCATATGTTCAGACACACACACACATACAGCTTGTATCAGCTCTTATCCATTCACACGAAAAGAAATGAAGAAAAACAAAGGAACGTGTTGGAACAGATAGTTGATCACATATAGTACTTCAGTCACCCGTTCCTTTGTTTCTTTTTCTTTAATTATGTCTCAATTATTGATGAAATTGTATTAATTTAGCAAACTGTTTAGTTAAAAGATATTACCAAAAAAATGCTATATTCTTGCTCTAAAGAGTTGTGATTTCTTTGTCCTTGTTCTTGCAATGATAAAGGGCAGGTTCAACTGCCAAACTTAACTGGGTCGAATAAGTTAACATTCTTGCGAAAAATAAGTGTTGATCTATATAAAGAACTAATAAATGCACTAGCTACATCTAGTCTGTCATCATAAAAAAAATAAAAATAAAAATAAAAAGCACTAGTTAGAATTTGCTTGAGAATTTGCAAATACTTTGTGTTCCATAACACGTACACACATTCTCTCGGATTATATAAATTAGAATTAGGCCTTTTTTTTTTTTCTTTTTTGTCATAGGAGTTCGCTTTATTTTAAAAGTGCTTTAATTTCCACGAGACATATCAGCCAAAGCAATTTACTTGAACTTGTGTGTATCGTATATATTATAAACGATCCATGCCCATTACTACTAAATATAACACTTAATGACTTAGCTTGTTTATTTTATTGTATTTTAAAATATAAAATAAAAATAACATAAAAGAAAGAACATGCACTGACAGTGGGTCAAATGTCAACCATGTTTATATAGCATAAGGAGCCACCCCAAACGCTACTTTGGGCTTCATAGTCTTAAGCAGGCTTTTGGACTGAGTTATATAAGGCCGCTTATAACAAACTTGGATTAATATAGAAAGAATGATAATAAAATTTCAAAATATTAAATAATTAGGTTGTTGACAATTTTTTAAAAAATTAATTGATAAATATCAATTTAAATAGTCATAAATAAAAATCTCAACTATAAATTAAGAGTTACATTTGAAACATATATATTTGATTTACAATTGAAACCTTAAAATTTGTGATAGTTATTTTTTATTTTCAATTAATTTTAAAGAAAATGTTGTGGAAGACGTAACAATAATTAAGTTGATATTCGAGGACATAAATATCATTCTCCTATTTTTATATAATTTTATTGTATGCATTAATTATATCCATTGATAATTAAATGTTGGGTTTAGATTTGGTGAGATAAGCTCTTCAAAAAATTCAAGTCTTCATGATTATCCAAAGTCATTAATGCTAGCTGCCCACTTCTTAGAATGAGAAGGTTAATTTCTATAGCTGTATATGATAGATTCAATGCACCATATAGCGGTGTTTCTATAAATACTCTTTAATTAATAATTGCCATTTACATTTATAAACGACTGTTATTCGTTGGCAGTAATGAAGAGCTGGGGTTTATTAAGTTAATTCATGCCAAAAGGAGTCCTAGCAAAAGATTGATAAACCAGCTATGTTTATCTCCAAAAATAGGAACTTCTTCAACAATAATCGAATAACACAAACCAAACCCATCGTCAACAATTCTACATACTCTCGCAATTCTTTCATAGCATCTTTTCTTCTTTCTTACTCCTCTTTTTCTATACATAGCCACTAAAACATACTAGACGAGTAATTAGCAAGTACAAGAACAAATAGAAACAAGACGAGCCCAAAAGAGTCTCTCTCTTCATTAAGCACTTAAACCAGCTGTGTACATCACACCTGTGTGAGGCAGCCATAGATTACCTTGAATAAAATCAGCCACTGTGAAGTGATAAGCCTCCCTCGCGTCCTTCAACACATGGAACCCTGCCCATTTGACTCGGTTCTCCAGGGCAGCTCCTGGACCACCGTTCATGTACTCTGCGTAGTACAACGAAGATTCATCGCCGTTCCACTCGAGCCAGCCTCGTGGCGCCACCGCGTTGCTCATGTAGGTTTGCATGTAAACTGTTCGAGAGTATGCCCTCCAGGGCCTCCCAAGGTATGTTTCGATGGATCCGACGAAAGGAAGAAGGTCGGAATCTGCAGAAATGTTGCAGAATTGGAAGGAGAACCCTGTTGGTTCGTGTGGATCTTTTCTTCCTTGGGCTGTGATGGCGTTTTTCTGACCTGGAAGCCCTCTTTTGGCCTGAATCTGGCACTTTTGGAACACTGCTGCGGCATCTCCGAAGATGAAATCCACAGAACCTTTTATTCGACATTCTCTGTAGAATTGACGCATTGTGTGTGTGTAGAGGCTGTCTTGGTAGCCATAGATGCCGCAGCGGTAGAAGACAGATAGGTCAGAGTTTGATCTCAGTGCCACTGCTTGGTGCTTCTCTGGACCTGCCGTGTTCTGGAAAGTAATGTCTCGAGCTATGAATCCTCTCCCGCTAACAGCTACAGATCATGTCCACATTAGGCAGAATAAAGCAGGTCAAGAAAGGATAAAACCGATTAGCTGCAGAGTTCTTATTCTTATTCATATTTTCAAGGTTATGCGAGCTTCGTTTTAAAGATTTATTATAATCAGGTGGTTGGAGACCTGGATTATGTTGGTTTAATGTTAAACAAGGCCCTCCTCACCGTTGGATAGGGGTTCTTACAAGTTAAGGAAGACCCTGCTTACAGTTGAAAAGCCATGTTCTGACTTCAATGCCATTGACCCTTTTGAGAGTGTCACTATTATAAGCAATAGGATAGGATCACTTCACTGATTTTGTCTTGCATGTATACACATGAAAGGCACCCCTAATAAGTAATAACCCAACTTCATGGTGAAAGGAATCAAATTTGGCCTTGGATGGTAGATTCTATCATATCCATTCTTGATGCTTTTCATATCAGGTTAAAGAAATTCAGGAGGGGAATTACATAGAGGAAATTAGAAAAAGACAGAGCTTTGACGATTGGAAATATGAGAGTTCTTACCGAAAGTAGCCGAGCGGTATGTGGTCCACCCATCGTAGAAATTCCGATCACCGGAGATAACAGTGGCATCCATGCCTTCACCAATCATCATGATGTTCCATTTCTTCTTCTTGATCTCCACATTCTCTTTGTACAGGCCCCTCTTAACGTATATCACAAAACGTTTCATGCTATAATCAGGAGCTGCTTGCACTGCATCTGCCACACTGGTGAAAGTTCCAGTTCCATCTGCTGCTACTACAACATCCACATTAATCTCATCTGATTGTAGGACCTTCTGGTCCCTTGGTTTGATCCATGGAGGAAACTGTATTTCGCTTGCATGGAAGTCGTCAGGAACATGGTGAACCTGTGTTAAGAGATGCTGGATCGATGAGATCATTTGGCTTAGAAGAGATGATAACAGGTTATCTATAATGCTATTGATGCCTTCGAACCCTTCCATGCATGTCTGTGGATTTGCAAGTGCAGCACTCAGCCATGTTCTTAGATCGGAGCTCAGGTTTCCTGTGCCGTTTTGCTGGCCTGAAAGAACAATGTGTGTGTGTGTGTGTGTGTTCCCTTCATATTATTTTCCTTAAAATGGGAATTTTTACGTGACAATTTAGTTAAAGAAAAATTGAAACCGATTCGAGCTTGGAGATCCCCTGTTTTCAAATAACATAGAACAGAGGAAACATGACAGAGATAAAAGAGTGATCGAGAATGGTACCTGTGGGAATCTGAGTAGCAGAGGAAGACAACTGGAGGTCATCAAAAGACAAATCAAGCAAGTCAAGGCAGTCAAAAATGGCATTGGAGAGGCGAAAATCTCTCCCATTGGGAAACCTAGACAAGATGGAGGTAACACGCTGTAAAACCTGAATGACTCCTTGCACAGAGTCTCTGAAATCCGAAGAGGAAACCTTCAAGCACTCTAACCCCTTGAGATCACTTCCACGAGCATCACTAGTAGGAGTTAATACACCCAGAATCAGAATCACCGAGATAATGAATGAGAAGGAGGTGGGTGTTCCAGACTCCATTTTGGTTGAACATGAGAGAGCCATGAGTGTCTCTGTCTCAAGCTCTCACTGTTGCTACAGTGATATGTGTATGACTAGGAAAATGCTAAGAAATGACACAGAGATGAGGCCTATTTAAGATGGGAGAGAAGGAAGAGAAAGAGAGGTAGGAATATGTTGGTTAGAATGGCAGGTAATGGAATTTAAGAAAGGTTGGAGATGAAGTTTTATGAGAGGAGTTATCGTCTAAAAATAGGTTGGAGTTACAGACAACAGAGGTCTGAGGTTTGTTTCTGATTTGCGAGTGTCGGCGGTGATTATGCATGCCACTCTTCGAAAAGAAGGGAAATAGACCACACCATACCACGCCTAGTTCACTGTAAAAGTACTGATACTTAATATCGGATCCAATATGAGACAGTCTACGTTCAAATGTCAACTTTTGCAAGTCTTATTTGTAACTTTTTTTTTTTTGGTTTCTATTTGATAGGTTCATCTATGTTTATTCCTAGTGTCATCCAAGAGTCAAGGTCCCTCCATTTTATAAAATTTAATTTGACATGAGAGTAAACAAGTTTTAGCTTTTGGATTATGAGCTAAGGTTGCCATCCTTGTTCTTTAATATGCTGTGTGGTACTCGTTACGACAACTTTATCTTTTATTTATAAAATATTTTTAAATAAAATTTTATATATTAATAAATTTTATTAAATACATTTAACAATCTTATCTTTTTTAAATATATATATATACACTTTAAAAAATATCCATCATTTAATACATTAAAAAAAGGAATGAAAATTTATTATAAAAAGAAAAAAAATAATACTAAAATTAATATATTTAATAAAATTTTAATTTATTTAAAATATCTTATATTTTGAGTTCAAGAAATTTAATGTATTATAATTTAGAACAAGAAAAGTATTTCGTATTTGGGAAAGAAATATGAGAGGCTCATTCATGACTTTGTTCAGTGCCTTCTTTAACATCAATTACTGAAGCCAATCGTGGTCGTGCAGGCTCACATTTTGATGACATGGTTTCCGTCACCGTCATGCTCGCGATCTGTTTAATTTTAATTCAACGCCAATCATCAATATCATAATAAGCCATTTGATGTGACATTAGCTTAGATGAGCAAGGTGGGATAGTATAAATTAAACAGAAGCTCATGTGCAAACATGTAACAATTGATACTAAAATAAAATACAAAAATTTATAGTTTAAAGAATTTGGTGCATCGTTGAATTGAACATTTCATGAAACGAACGAGGGCTCATTTGGTTGTTGAAAGGACATATAATAAAATAAAATTAAACGAGTTAAAAAAATAATGTCATGGATTGATAAAGAGATGTAAATAATAGAGAGGAGATAGTTATAAAATGATAGAGGAGTGGCCAAGTAAAAATGAGGATAGATAATCTTATTAATGTTAATTCATATTCCCTTCCACCCCATGTATTTTCAAGAGACAAACGAGCATTGAATATTGAATGATACAACATGAAAAAGATAGCTGTAAACATTTAAAATTATTATGGTTAAAATTAAAATTACTTTTTAATTGTTGGATAATATTATTTTGTGTTAAAGTATATTTTTGTCCCTATACTTTCTTTAGAGGAGTGCTGAGGATCTTGTACTAATAAATAGAGCATTTTTTCTTAAACCATTTGTCATAAAAGTAAAAATTCCCATACATTAATACATAATTTCCAGCATTGTTTAAAGAAAAGTATAAAAGCATAAATACATTTTAATAGAAAAATAAATTTTAGTGACTACTTTAATTTAATTAAGATTACTTTTTTACTTTCAAATTATATAGTAAAAGTTATAATTGATTATTTTATTTTGATCACTGTGAGAAGAAAAGTAATCATTATTTAAATTAAAGTAGTCATGATTATTTATACTATTTTGACTTTAATGAATAAAAAATTTGCATAAAAAAAATTATAATTGATTGTTTTATTTTAGTCATTATTAAAAAAATTAATCATTATTTAAATTAAAGTAGTTACTAATAAATAAAGCTAAAGGTTCACTCAATAATCCCACCATTTCATGGACAAGGAGTTAGTAAAAGTGAAGCAGACCAAATTTTTTAGTTAAAATATGCCTAAAATAAAATGCTTCCCCCTCCCCCCCCCCCCCTCTCTCTCTCTCTCTCTTATTTTCCTAATTTGAACTTATTAACCCAATCAGTTAATTTACCTGTTCATGTTTGTGTCATGTGTCTTAATCAAAAGGGACAATATGAATAGTTGTAGGAGTGCAACCTCTTCGTGTGGTTACACCCAAAAAAGAAAAAGAAAAATAAATTGAAAGACAAGGAGATCAATGATATATATGAGATTCTAGTCCGTTTCATCCAATTTAATGCTCTTCTTATAAGCCAATTTGCTTGCCCTCCAATTATTCCAAAAGGACAGCTTTCTGAATGACATCTTCACATAATGCCAATCCGAATGAAGTCTCACGCTGGCCTAAAATAGTGAAGTGTTCATATTTTGGACGCGTCGAGGTTGAGATGATAGTTCAATGTTCATTTGAAGTTGGACAAAATCAATTAATTTTTGACACCGGCCTGCAAACAACAATGCCAATTTAGGACTTGGTTTGGCCATAGCTGAATTCTTTGAGAATTATCATTTTTAACTTTGATGAGGAATAGTCTCTAGAAATGCCAGTACTAGAGATTTCACAAATTAATCCAACTTTTGTATCCTATACATTTTTTTATGACTCGTAAATATAATTGAGGTTTGAAGTTGTCATAAATCTCACCTAAAAAATGGGATTTATAGATTCAGAGGGTTTTCTCACATCAAGAATACATAGGCTCTGCTTTTAAATTTATAACAAGAAGTTCGACCATACTAATTACTATGATCCAGTTTTTTTATACTTCAGTCAATTAACCACTGTTAAAGAATAAACTATACAGCCTTTATTAATCCGTGTGACTAAAATTATTGGCAGATGTGGAAGCCCTTTTTTTTTTTAATGTTACAGAGATAAATCAAATTGCCATCATGGGGTAATTGACAGGATCGCCGTCCAAAGTAAAAAAAAAAAAAAAAACGAGTGAAGAAAATATGGTATAGCTTTTCAACTTTGACGTTCTGTCTAGTCGTTGATATTTTTCAAACCATTACGCGGCACGCACAAAAAAGGGTATTTTATCTTTTAATTATTTTTTCAGTTAGGCAGTTAGCTATTAAAAAAAATTGAATTGAGTAAAAAGTTAATACCCTATCTATCTCAAATTATAAAATATTTTAAATTTTTTTAATATTTTAAAATATATGATACTTTGAAAAAAATTAATATTTTATTAAATATGCTTATTTAAATATTACAATTTCTCTCTTCATTTAATTTACTTCCTTATCTCTTTTCATTTTATTAAATGAAGGACAATTTTAAAATTTTTATTTTTATTTTAAAAAATAAAGTTGTTAACTATATTTAATTAAATTTATTGATAAGTGAGGTTTTTATCTAAAAATATTTTATAATTTAAGATAGAGGGAGTATATGATAAGTAATGGCCATTAACTCTTATACTTATTTTATAACATTTATCAATAGATACAATAATACTTCTTTGATTCTATTTACAGGGTAGGAAGAGAAAATTAATTTTGATTCTTTTTATAGAACAATTCACTATTTTTAATTTATCTTTACCTTTCTACCCTTATAAAATGTTAGAAAAATTATTAAAAATATTTTTTATCCTTATTAATGATAAAGGTGAAAACTTGTTAAGTTTTAAAATAAAATTAATAAAATTTAAAGTTTTTCTTAATTATAATAAATATATTAAAATTAAATTATAAATAGGATAGGAGAAGTAAAATGCAATAACTTTCCTCCTGTTTTATTAAAATTATAAAGACATTCTCTCTATTTTCAAAACATATACGTTTCTCCAATCATTAGCACCATTAGCAATATTCTGATTCTAGTATACTCTAATCTTTTATTTTTAATTATGTTAAACAAAAACTTAAGATTACTAACTTGTTCTTATAATCTAGTTGCCTACTCTTTTGCCCCTCAATTTAAGAAACTAAGTATGAAAAACACTAAAATATAAACTATTTAAAATGTTGTTTTCTAATTAATAAAATTTAAAGAAAAATAAATATAAATTATACTAATTTTTTGTTTTTATGCATTACATCTCTATTTTATTAATTTTTTTACATAATTGTCTGAAATATTATTTAAGACAACTTATCTATTTATATTTTAAAAAATTACTAAATAAATAAGCTTGTAAAAGTAAAAAGTTTAAAATATGAATAAAAAGTTACGTCTGTGTGTGTAATTTTTTTTTTGAATATGTTGAATGATTTTTAGAAAACATATTTATTTAAAGAAGATATTTTAGTCCAATATACAGAAGAGTATAAAAAGATTAGACCTCTATCAGATAGCTTACGTCCTAGCCTGTTTGGTTAAATGGGCTTGGCCTATTATTTCAAGACCTAACATTTAAGCCTATAAGCCAGGCGTATTTTGACCTTTATATATATATATATATATATATATTAAATGCATTTAATTTTCATTATTATATTGTAAGTTATATTTTCTTTGGTTGATGATTAAGTCTTATTAATGATTTAAGTATGTTTAAAATTTAGTAAAAGCTCTTCAAAATCTTTTTCTTGAACCTTTTTAAAAATACACTTAATTTTTAAAGATATATTAGACTCCGTTAGGTTTATAATAAGTTTAGACCTAAACCTTAAAACAAGTTTGTATACAGGTTTAGGCTTATTTAAGTAAGGCTTGATTTAGAGAGGGAGAGAGAGAGACTTAATGATCAACTAACAATTAGTGTATAAAAATAAAGTTTTAAAGATAGAAGAGAAGAACTATATATTGAGGTCAATGTATTTTAATATAAATGCAAACATTGGATGGCCAAATTATGCCTGCATTTTTCATATGAATTTAAATAAATCCCGTTTAAGTTTTCAAAGACGACTTTTGTTAGAGGGGAAGTTTACTAGAGAAGCTAGTTTATACTTTTGATAACTTAGCATTTGGCATAGTACTATAATGTTGTAGCATTAAAGTCACGAGTAGTTCTGGTTTTTATAAACGACCTTCATTATTCTTAAACGATTAAAACAGCTTTTTAAAGAATATGATGAAGAATCAATTTATTTTTAAAAGTCATAGCA